TCAGCCTGTTCTACAGCCTGTCCTTTGGAAGTGAAACGAGATGCTGGGCTGGTGCTGAGGCGCTGCTGCTGATGGCCCAGTTCTTAGCTGTTAAACCAGTTTGAAAGTACGGGAACTGGTGGTACTGGGTTCTCAGCAACCTGCTCTTCTCTGCATTTGAAAGAGGCCTTATAGTCAGGGAATTTCAAGATATAATGCAAGTTCTCTTTCGTCAGTGGAAGAAGAGAGTAGTTCAGGGGAAGGGAGAAAGAGTTTTAAATTATTGCTTCTGTTCTAATTTGTAATTGCCCACACTTTATATACAAAAGAGAGTACCTTTATGTTATATTAATGACTAATCCTTTCCTGAAACCAGCTGGTCTCTTACAGGTTTTGCTTACTAACTTATTCCCAAGCCAAACTATCCCTTGCTTATAATTCCAGTGTAATAACACAGCAGCTCCAGACCTCTGACAATCTGCAGGGAAAATGCCAAACACATCGCAGCCGCTCTGGCACAGTGACTGGATCTGAAAACAGTAATCTAGGTAAGTGTAAGTAAAAGTAAGTCTTTGCATCCCAGCATGGTGTTACAGCATCACATGATCTTCTTCAGCGGCTGCCATGCATTGGCATATATTTTCACTATGTCAGCCCCAGAGAGGACAATTTCTCCACTGGCTTCCCCCTGAAAAAGAGGGAAAAGCACTTGCTCCTGAAGCTGCTGACAGTCTCTGGGCAGGAGCGCAGGGGCTGGGAGGGAAGGCTGTACAGAGGTTTAGTGGCACCAGTCAGCAGAGCTGCACGGTGCTGCCTGGTCGGAGCATTAATTGCTGGGCTAATCTGAATTACAGCCTTACTGCAGCATTCATCCTTGCTGCCTGCTCTCAAACAGAAGAATTTGGTGGCTTCAAAGCCGTGCTCAAGCAGAGTGTCACAACCATCTCCTCCTTAGAGATGGAAAAATCCTGTCACGGTCATTACTGAGACACTCACCAGCAGCCTTGAACTGCACGGTCAGGTGCCAAGTGACAGGCAGATGTTTCCAATAAGAAATACAGCCCTTTCCATAGCCCCTGGTTGCATCACCCACCAGGGCAGCATTGCCTCAGCCTTCTCTGGCCAGAGCTTTGACCTGCTGGAGTCACTTGAGCTCAGCCAGGCTCTCCGTATCACTCTGACAATGAGGCCCAGACAGAGACAAAAAGACCACGTGGCACTGCTGTCACTGGAGAGAGGTTTGCCTTTTTCCCGTCATAAATTTCTTTGCTAGCAGGAAGCTGGCAAGGAGAAGGGGACATAAGACAACTTACACCCTGCCTATTGTTTTCTCAGCAGCATTCGTGTAGTGGATTTGTAGAAGAAAAAAAAAAAAACACACCCGCAGTTGATACTTTAAAATAGCTCTACGGAAAACTGTGCATGCCCTCTAATAGCTTGATAATTAAGATATACTATAAACCATACAACTTGAAATTTCAAAGGATTATTAAAAAAGTAACATTCCTGGCTCCTTGATGCAGAAACTTTCTCCTTCTTGTAGATTGCTTCTACATCTCCACGTCGCTGGGGCACAACAAGGGCAGCAGATGTGGAGTAAGTGCAGTGGTGATCAGCATGTAATACGGGCACAGATGCAAGTAACTCAGAGCTGACACTCAAGCAAGCTGGTTGCTTCATTGGCAGGTTGAGAAATACTTTGCTTCTGCAACATAAAAAGGCTATAATGAGTTAGAAGTCCTTCCCGGCCAGCTAGTGGCCTGAGTCCTGGGAACAAAGTTTGGGAGTGGTTAGAGAAGAGTGGGCAGGCTGACCAAGCAGAGAGCTCGAAGGTAGCAACAGTTAGTTGAGTCCAGACCACAGGGAATTAATCATTAAACCAACAAAGCCGGCAGTACCATCTCATTTAAGAATACTTCCGGTCGTCTTTAAAACAAAGAGCTGTGGCCAACCACAAGAAGAGCAGTTAAAAACCCACAGTAGGAGAGCAGTAAAAATCCATGATAGTCCCACCGGCAAAATGGAGAACAATACCTGCTAACTGGCATCTCAGGGGTGACCTGAGCATGTCTGTGGCTGTATGTTTGAGGAGACCAGGGAAAAAAGGCTGTTTCTCTGATGTCTATTTAGGCAGGAAGTTGGCAGAAGTACCAGTAGATCCTGCCATTTCGATCCAGTTGACTATTCTTCACACATACTAGAATGTGACAAGCGGATTCAAATGTTACTGCTGAGAATTAACTGACACATAAACACGCACACAACACCTAACATGTAACGTGAGCTCCCTTTTCTTACAAGTTCAGCCTAAAAAAATCCCTAAACCAACTCTCTATTTGGTCACTACTGCAACCTAGACAGCTGTTCTGCACTGGAGGAGGGGGTTGAGGAGAGAGAGACGGTGTGGAGCTCTTTCTGGATCTCAGATAAGAAAGACCCAGCAACAACTAGTTTGATGACTGCTTTAATAAAACGGAATAAGACAAAGACAAGTAATACAGACAGCAAGTGAATTGTACATCCCTTCAGACACCGGCCATGTCACATTCACATGGCATTGGATGGAGCCCAGATTAATTTTTCCCATGGTGTGCTGCACAGAGCAGATGCAAGCCCATCCGTAGAGAGCAGCTCCCTCCTTTCATCACTTCAGCTACTTTAGAATTTCCTAACAAGAAAACAACCTCCTTTATAAAGGCTGTTCTCATGAGAACTTGTTGCTGCTCTGTTGATAAAGGCAAGGTCAGGCAGGTGGTGCAATTGCAGTACTGAGTGGGAGCTGCTTGTGAGCTCCACCATTACGATGAGCTGGTGAAGATGTCCCGCAGCCAAGGGGTCTTTGCAGCCCAGTGGATCTCTGGCTTCTCCTAAATGTTCAAAGGTCAGGATCAATAGAGCAGCTCAGGAAAAGCCTCCTGGCCTATTTCTCAGCCTTGGAGAACAGTTTGGGACAAGGATCTGAGACTTTGAAACTGCTAGCTCCACCAGCTGCTTGCTTTCAAAACTGACATGGTCCTGAAGTCGGCCACGGGCATAAATTGGCATATCAAAGGTCAGGCGTGGCTTTGGTACCATCAGGCAAAAAAACATCTGAAGGCCATTGCTTTGCAAACACTTTCTTGATTACCATGAACAATGCAGCTGAACCGTGCAGCTGAGGGGCACAAGTGGTTTTCAGAGCTGGGCAAGTCACACCCAGAAGGGCTCTGGGTAGTTGTTTTGTCACTGTAACATCATGCAAAAGATAGAAATCAGATAAATCATGTTCAGAGTCTTTGTGTTAGACTCCCTTTGAACAAGGAACTAGGTGGCAACTAATTGTGCAACTGAGTGGTCATCGGTGTATACCTTTAAAGCAAGACTTGCCCAGCATGCTCGGCTCCTTTATAGAGGGGCAGTTCAGGGCATTGCAGCCCTTAGGTGTGACCTGGCTCCTGGTTGTTGCACCACACAGTGAGTATTTACCACCTTCTTCCTCTTCCAGACTCGCTTTCTCTAGTTGCTGCAGGATATGCTGTGCTGCTGCTCCCAGCCAGGCTTTTGTTTAAGGAGATGTGGCTTAGTTTGGCTTTTCAGGTGCAAGAAACTTAAGACTGGATGTGGTGATGTAGTAAATCCAGAGTTACTGCTCTCCTAGAGTCTGTCTGTGGACTGGAAGGGGGTGCGGTAGGATAGTGGTTGAATGGCCTTGGTTTAATGAAGTAAGCTCCTTGCCTGAAAGTACTATTATATGTGACTGCAGCTTTAGTCTTTGAAATTCAATGAATTGTTGTTTATTAGTTTTGGATTACTTAATTTTGGGCACATTCTTCTAAGATAAATTTGTAAGTTAAGTTGCTCAAGGAATGTTTCATTTTCAATCCTGATCTAGATGAGCTTGATTCACAAGGAAGACCATTTTATACGCAGGTACTGTGGCAAATGTAGTAAATGAGGTACCATGAATACCAATATCTAACAGTTTTGTGTGTGTGAAGATATATTGCATTTCTAAAAGTGTATTTGTATCGCCTAATGGGATAACAATCTTTTAAATTAGGCTGTCATTTTCAACCATCAAGAGTTTGTGAAACACGCGGTTCTATATCAATGTTTACATAAGTATGTAGGGGGATGCCTCACCTTAGAACTTAAGTTTTTCTTAGCTGACTGCATGTATAAGGAGAGAAGTTATTTTATAAATTGGTGTAAGCGTAAAACTGAGCTAGATTCACTCATGGGTCATTGATTATCTGGGAGCATTGTTGCAAGATGTAAACAAACAATTTCTGTCTCTGTTGCCTGCACAGATGTTCCTCCTCCTAACACACAGCCCATGCTACAAGCTTTTAATCTATTTGTTCTCCTTTCTGGACAGCATGTGAAGAGAATATAGAGATGGTGCAAGGTTGGGGGCAACTAAATGGGAGAAAAACTGAACTGTCTGAAGAGGGTACATAAGGCATGTTTACAAAAGCTTTTAGATTCCTAGTCTCTTGTCAGAAGTACCTTTAGATACGTTAAAATTTTTTTATTGAAAAAGTTCAGTGGTGATGCAGGAAAAAAGGTAACTGCAAGCTGAGGTAGGGTGGGGGATACAATGGCAGGTGAAGCAACTCCTGGCTGTGCTGGCATCTGGAGAGCTTTTCACCTGTGTGACTGACATCCTCAAGTGGTGCAGAGCTTTCTTTTCGCCCTTAGGGCTTTTCTTCTGTTTGATTCAATTCTTTCCGCACCCTCATCAGTTGAATTGAATTGTGGATTTAACAGTGACAAGTTGTGGGTGGGTGTTTGGGTTTTTTTTGCACAGCTGAATTCTTTATCTGATGGCTCTTATTAGATTGGCATTTAAAACTGACCTTGTGTTTTCTTAAAAGGACTGGTCATCATGATCAAAATATTAGCATTTCCCTTCCCAAAATCAGTTAAACTATTGTTTTGCTGTCAATACAAGGCTGTGATTTGCACTTACTCTGTGCCTGCTTACCTTCCAAAAAGTATTTCCATACTGTTCGCACAATTAAACAAGCTGCTGCTTTGAATTAGTCTTGCAGCACTATTACATACTTTTTATTTTATTTTTTTCTGTACAGTGGGAGAAACCAATGCTTTGAAACAAAAACATTCAGAAAGTTTACACTGGTTTACATTTATTTAAAAAAAATATTTAAACACTTTTGTGTTTCACCTGTGTATTACTAACTACAAAACAAATAGGGCTCATCACTTGGAAGAGGTTCACCAGTACAAAACAGCCTCCTGGCATCTTCACATCCTCCTCTTCTGCGTACTTATGTACAATACTGTGGAAAAAAAACAGAGATGCTTGTAAGAGGGCCCTGGTAAATAATGTGCAGAAGCCTATTTATTTAAAACAACAGTGTAATGAATTTTGTTCAGCATGAACAAAGTCAGGAAACTTTTAAGTCCAGGTTTCAAGAAATCCTGTCAAATTTACACACTATGTATTATGTAGGTTTAGCACTTATTATATTCCTAGGCAAACTACACTCCAGCAGATGCAGGCTGAACAGAGAGAGAATAAAGCCAGACACCCTGCAGCATTACTGAGGGGGGCATGTGAGGGTTTCCAAGCAGCAGAGTTACAGGTGTCAGACACTGATGCTATGATCTTTCAACAAAAGCTGGAAATTGCAAGCACTTTAAGCAAAACTATTATCTATGAAGCAGCAGAGATCTTCCCACCTCTGTGGCTGGTGATATCCGCAGAACGGATCCAGGCACAACATGAAACTGCACTGTGCTTCTAAACCTGGGAAGTCTCAGGTTCTCTGCTCAGCCTCTTCTTGAGCCTCCTGCCTCTCATCCATTTGTTTTTAATTTTTATAATAGCTTCTTACTTCCATAATTGATTCTTCAGCTGCAATGTCACTGCACTCCTTAGCACAATGATCCAAAGTCTTTGCAAAAATCATTTGGCCTCACTCAAAGATTATTCCTCTTCCTACAGCACTCTTTCGCACTGGTGACACATTCTTTTTGTAACACGGGATTCAGTTCATTATTTTGATTCCCTTCCTCTTCACTGTCTTCTGGTTTTTTCCCCAAGTAATTTAGTCAAACTCCACTTCATTTACCTTCTCTTCACATCTGACTTGTGTACCTCTTCTATTTTTAGATATTATTCTCCCTGGTATGTCCTCATATTTACAGCCTCACTGATAACAGAGTCATTTCAGGAGCCTGGAATTGTCCTTGAAGTGCACTCAAATCCACCTACTGCCCTGGAATGTTGAAAGGCTCAACAGTAAGACACAAGTGATTTTTCTTGACTGGTGGTAAAACCTTTACTCATTAAGATGAAAAGAGCCTTCAGTACTAATGAACAGTATTATTCAGGTCTGGAAAATTGCATCATAAGATGGTATTCGTGTCATCAATATCAACACTGTATCATAAATTTATAGAGTAGTTTGCTTAGGAAAACACAAACTTCTACAGAGCAGAGGCCATCTAAGCAGGCAGCAAGTGCGAAAGAGTAAATCTGTCAAATGACAGAAAATAAGCTACAAAAGAGCATGCTTCTTGAAATGTACTTCAAGCTCAGAGGCAAAAAGAGCCACAGGAAAGCAGAAAAGCACAGACACTGAAAAGCGAAACTTTAAAAAGTAAATATTATAAGGCTTCCAAGAAAGTCTAAAACTAACGGAGGCAGCTTGCTTACATCTCGGACACTCGTCAAATTCAGAAGCAAGTACAAAGCACAATAACATAAGGAGGAGTTACCATTATTTCCTCGGATAAATGCATCCCCGTATTTGTTCTTTAATTGTCCGTTTACATATTCTTCGGTCTGTTCCAGAGCTATATTCATATAGCCATCCAGGCAAGCCAGGACACCTGAAGATGGTGATGGTTTAGAAGTGAATCAGCTTAAACTTATTTTAAAAGAAACAAAAAGGCATTGTGTTTGAATAGTACTGAAACCTGCATGTTGTAACAAACTGAAAGCCCAAGCTTGGCCAGGTCAGTAGATGAGAGTATTCTTCACAGAATTAAGCTGGAAGTGAGGAACCCCAGGCACTCAAGCAGCAATTGATGTAAGAGTGCATGTGTGGGACTTTAAGAACATTTCCACTTTGAAAGTTGAAGTTGTCCCTTCTCACCTGTGCTTTAAGCCACACACCTGAAAAGAACTTGTGACTTCAAGTGTAACCGGATGACCTAAGGTCAAGGCTAGCTAAATTGAGTTTTCATCAAAACTTTTGAAGGCTATAGCTCAAAACCCTTTTAACACAGGACACCGTACACACTTTTTCATCTTTATCTTCATGCTTACAGATCTAGAACACTGTCTGCAAGTCTCTGTTTTGATGTAAACAAAATTCTACATCATTTTCAACAGGCAAAACATTTTCAAACGACAGTGAAATCTTCCCACAGAAATGAAATATGTTGTTTAATGCAATTCAAGGAAAAAAAAATCTCTGCCATTAGAAATATTAGATGTTATTTTGATCTGGAAAATACGCATTTGAGTAGCACTGATTTTAGACAAGTATTTACGTTCTCACTTCTCTCAGCCCCTGCTGAAGGCTGTACCTTGTTCACACAGTACTTCCTATGTGCTGGCAGCATAATGGCACTTTTCATTTAAAATCACTCCTCTGCACCTACACCCACCCTTAAGATCAGAACCATGGCCATCCTCAAATATACCTCACCTGATGAATGAATGAAATGAATGTGGGGATTAACAGACATAAAGAATTGCTCAGAGAACATAATCCGAGTTGTTAATTGTGCACATAAAACAACTTGTAAAAAACTGTATTACTCTCCATTTTGCATGAGTGTTTCCCTGACTTCACTCTTGCACACAGGGACAATAGTACTACAATACTTTTTTTTCCCCCTCTGTTTGAAAAACATCGTTTATTTACCTGGCATTATAACTTGAAACATAGTGTTTTGCCTGTACTTGATGAGGGAGGGAAAACTCCAGTCTGAGAATCCTCCTCTAGGACATGTTCTCATTTTTCAGAAGTGTTACTGTAATATCTTCCATAAAATATTCAAGTTTTCCTGCCAACTTGTAGTGGCTTGAGATTTTCCTTGATGTTTCTCTTTTTTCCTCTGTTTCCACACAAATAGGAAAAACTGACTGCTCACAAACTGTTACTAACTGCACCAGAAAACCCAAACCAAGAGTCAGAACTGGTTTTCACTCTGTTAATCCTGAGTACTTCACATACTAATAGAAAACAAAATGTGTGTCCAAAATTAAAATTGGATGGTGTGGACTTTGCTAAGTTACCACTCGGTATGTCACAAATGTTGTATTTGCAAACTCATCTGTTCCTAGAGTGCACTCATGGTTGTTTAATGCTCTTCCTCCATTTTTTGTGTGTTTACTCCTAGGCCACGACATTAAATATTGTCACTGCTTATGGTGCCTAGTATTTTACCTGTTTTATCTATATGTAGAGATGTTTTAATGTACATATGTATCTCTATGCATAGAAATCATATGTATTAATTTACTTTCCCAGGGCTTCTTCCCTTAGACATGTTTAGCACTTGGCAGCAAATCAAGACATTTTTACAGTTAAACATCAACACTTGTATTAGGCCACGTTTGTGCGTTTGGCAGCTCGGAGGGTGGAGGTACAGTCATAAAATTAGCAACACAGCCTAGAGGAAGAATCTATGTGGATTTGCAAGAAATGCTGAAATGCTGGCTTTTTTATTGTTTGGGTTTTACAAATGCTGGCCAAATTACCCTCAGAAAACAAACTGAGTGCATGTTTTTCAAATGAGAACAGGTTTTTAACTGCAGGATCACATCAAGTGGGAAGGCAGGAGAGCAGAGGGAAATAAAGAAGGGAGGTGGAAAAAAATCCAGTAAACAGTAAGGGTGTTAAAAGGAACTATGGCTCTATTCCTGCTAGGTCTGACTGTATGCATGTTAAACTAGTTTTTTTGAGAGGAAAGCTGAGCAGTTGATGGACAGCACTTACAAATGAATGTTACCAAGCAGAAGGTACCAGTGTTCTCAAAGAAAATGGAAAGTGCATCCAAAAACCAAAGGTAGTTTGGCCCTGCCTTGCATGAACATTTAGGTAAATATCGGTTTGTTTTAAATGACTTGTAATGAGCTCTTGCTATATTCCCTTGCAAGAAAGAATTTACAGAGGCCAAAGGCCAATGAGAAGCAGTGAAGTTGTTAAGCCAGCAGCCCCACCGGAAGGGATAAGGTGGCACTGCTTGCTCTGCCAGTGATCAATAACAATTTAAAACTGTCACATTACTAAGACTTCTTGTCACAGCACAAACAAGTCTCTTCTCACAAGTGCCAAGCTGAACCAATTGAATTCAACCTATCTGAAGCAGTGATTTGTAGCCGAACCATAATGTTCAAAACATTCCAGAATAAAACATTTAAGTTGTATGTAACAGGAGATATGTGACAGTTTTGATTAAGTTTGGATATTATTAAAAAATCTGGACAAGTTTGACAGCCTTAACCTAACACGAGTAGGACCAGGCCATTTCACTGAACAGAGAAATTTAATTTACTGGTTAAAAACCTATAATCCTACACAGAGTGCAAGAAGGTATATAGATAGGCTGAAGAGTTCTGGAATAAAAGTGCTGGACTACGTTAAAATAAACTGGGCATACAGAAGCAAAAGCCATGCTAAGTTTTCTCCTGTCTCCTGTAGCTCTGTGAGCCTTGATCTGACATGTGTCCAGGCAGCTGTTTAATCAAGAGGGTAAATAATTCTTTCATCCCTCAAGTAAGAGTAGGCTTGTTAATGATGGCACTGTTTGCTCTTTGAAGTTTTTCTGGACCAAGATCTATGCTAGGAGCTGGAGAACAGGAAGGTGAAGAAAAAAGGTAGTTCCAACAAGGGTTGCTATCAGAGCACCGAGAAGGGGACTGCCTGGCCATTTCAGCCAATCTTTACAAATATCAGTTTAGAAACTAAGAATCATCCCAAGACTCCAGTCTAACCCTCTGTGACCAAGGATACTAATGATTCAGTAAGTAATTCTAATCTAATCATTAACCTTCATCAGTTTTTCCAGAGTTGATTTTCTATTTTTTAATGTTACCATTCTGAGGTCTATATTCACATACTCCAAGATTCTGGATCATGCTGTTTTGCTTTTCAAAATCAAAGCAGCTGTTCCAGCCTCCCCAAACAATGACCTTATTCAGTGTGAGAAAGAGATGGAGAACTCACCTCGGTAATCGACTCCAGAATTTAATTTTACAACAACTGGCCTTCCAATGATTTGTTTTAGAAAGTCGCTAGGGGTTTGCTTCCGTAGACTCATCTTGATCTCTGGTAAGCTGGGAAAACAAGCAAGAGAAAACATTTAGGTAAGCAACATGCTTGCATGTGGTCTTTAAACACTCAGTAGAGCTAGGCAGTCCCTTGATGCTTAATACTTTCAGTAGGACAAAATATCAAAGGAGATAAAGGCAAAACCTTAAGTGTGTAGATAGAGCTCCTAGAGTCACAGCATTAAATCTCACCTTTGGCATTTTTAGAACTTCTGCAATTACAAATAAGAAACCTTGTTTGACACACTTTGCATCTTGTAAACTTCCAACAGAGGCAAAGGCCTCACCCTTCTCCATAACACCTTTCACTAAAATGGTTTTACTGAAATTAGAGAGCTAAGCCATTATAAGTGGTTCATATCTTTAGCGGGCGGAGAGAGAAGCCAGTACATGTTGTGTACAAAAAAGTCTGTGGTGGAACAGCAAGAGAAGGATTTTTTGATCTCTGCTCTTAAAAATGAGCAAAAAATACATCCTGAAGGACGCTTTCAAATTAATTGGTTAAGCTGGACTAAGTTTAGAATTAAGGACTGTGATTTAAGTTGTAAACAGACCTGAAAGACTGCTGTGATTTTAAAAAATGGTGCAGCTCCAAACACCCCCAGTTTGGTATGGAACTCCTTAACTTCTGCTTTAACGTCACTTGGCCAGACTTGTTCTGCATTTTAAACCCATGGCAGTAAATGACAGTGATGCTGGCACCCTGTACGGTGCCTTGGCCAGACTTGTTCTGCATTTTAAACCCATGCCAGTAAATGACGGTGATGCTGGCACCCTGTACGGTGCCCACTTTTTGTAGCTTTCTTGCTGGGGCAAATTGCAACGAGCTGTCCCAGCTGTGCCAAAGACCCCTCGCGGGTTTTTCTACCAGTGCCGCAGCACTTTAGAGCCAAAGATTTCCTAGAAAACAGGCACGTTTTGAACCACCAGTGCTACTCAGCCCCATCACCACCACCCCGAAGGTAAACACTGAGAGCTGTGAGGATGATCAAGGGACCTGAACACCTCTCCTGTGAGGAAACTGAGAGAACTGGGGCTGTTCAGCCTTGAAAGGAGACGTATATAAACACCTGAAGGGATATTTATATATGTCTAGAGGAAGGGGACAATCTCTTCTCAGTGGTGCCCAGTAGTAGAACAAGGAATAATGGGTTTAAGTTGGAACACAGGAAGTTCCGTCTCAACATGAGGAAAAACTTGTTCCCTGTGAGGGTGACAGAGCCCTGGCACAGGCTGCCCAGATGTGAAGTCTCCTGCTCTGGAGCCATTCAAAACCCACCTGGACACGTTCCTGTGTGGCTGCCCTGGAGGATCCTGCTCTGGCAGGGGGCTGCGCTGGATGATCTCTAGAGGTCCCTTCCAACCCACAACATTCTGTGATTCTATCAAACACGCTCCGGTTTTACGCACTGCGCGCTCGAAACCGCCTTAAAAAGGCGCGAAACGCGTTTTCAACGAAGGTCCCTGACAGAAAACCCGGGGGTGACACGAAGCTTTAAAAAAAAAACCAAACACGGGGTGAA